AATTTACGAACTACTGCCAGGTTTATTTTATCGATACGATTCAAAATTCTATGGAAAATTATGTTTGAAACACAAAAAACCATAGACGCTTTAAAACATACAAGTAATTTAAAATTTCGCAGTGTTAAAAATGTGACTGACGGCACTAGTATTAAAAGTACACCATTAATTGGGGCAGGGAGTTACTGTTTGATGTATCGATTATTCAGCTAAAGCAAACAGTTACGGGTTAGACGTCTATCTTAATTTTCAATTCAGAAATTTCTCAACTAAAACTTATTCACAGCTGCATTCAATATTCATGGTTGGAGTAGAACAACTTAGTATACTGCAGTGTAGAAAAACTCTTTGTAAAGTTTAGTTTTCAATCTTGTTTTGAGTCATACAGCTGTGAGAATATATCAACACTATGGCTCTTCAACACCCGCATTTTACAGCAAAGTAAGTCTAAACGTTAACCACTACATTAAATCTTTGGTTTGAGACCGTAAACAGAATACGTTAATTCTTAGGGCGATCCACTAGTGTTGAAAACATAACATTTTAAATGTTCTACACCGTGTCTTAGTGAATACAACATGAGCATGCGCATAAATAACAGCAATAACAGCGTAACCACCAACCGAACACATTCTGGGTAATGGTGACGTCATTGGACAGGCAACTATTAGCGCATGCGTCATGACAAAAAGATAAGAAAAGACAAAAAATAAAGAAACAAAGAATTTTGAAAAGGCACAAAATTCTAGAGAGATCTAGAGTTCTTTGGAACTAATTAATATAATTATGAACGGAAGTATCCCAACGTATTTGTTAACTTGTACGCGATCATGCATGTTATTAAATGTGGTAACTAAGCACCCCACATGGCCCTGTATAGGTTAACAAGACGTAACACGACGTCGGTTTATTTGAAACGCCTAGACATATGCCAGTCTATTAATGTATTATATAAACACAACGCACAGATATTTATTTCTTACTTACACCATTGATATATCTAGTAAACAGAAGCAGAATCGATCGTTTTGATATTGCCTTGACTGCAATCAATATTCACTTAATGCTGCCTTAAGCCAATTATTAGCTATATTGTTGGTTAGAATCTCACTAATTGCTTCATCAAAATCACGTACGTGGTCCGGTCGAAATTGCCAAAGAGCGATGGAATGGTAATTACACGCCTGCTAGAGCGTTGAATTCTTTAATAGGAATTTTTCCCTGTATTTGCATACTAAAATTCATAAGTGCTAATTCTTTTGTGAGCGTTTTTTTTGTCTCGTTTGCCCTATTGGCCAACTCTTAGGGATCTTATATCCTGAAATATTTCATTTAAAAAGAGTTTCATTTCAAGTTTTGATTACACGTCAGGTAGATATCAAAAAAAGTGAATATAAAATTTGACCCATATGACATATACGATTCAAGAACATTTTCTCGATGTAGTGTGAATCTTAGAACCATTAATTGACCGAACATTTTACTCTTCAAGATTTCGAGGCGCTATAAACATCCAAGAGTTTTCCAAATAGACCGGGACGCATATGATATGACAATAACACGTTGTTCCACGTAGCTTACTGTGAGGTTACTACCTCCCTCCATATCTCCCGTCTCACCCAAACGGCCAATACAAAATATACTTTGACTATGAAAACTAACCAACACAGCAGGTGATATTTTGTTTCTTCTTAAATATACTTAATATAATTAATATGCGATGGGAAAATTATAAAACGTTGAAGCCTGGTATACTATTTTGGTGATGTCAATGCGTGGCAGTGTCTAATGTTGTCAAAAAAATGTAACCGATGGGTAAACATTTTGAGCAAATGCAGTGTGATCTGAAATAAGCACTACGTTTGTATTATTAAGTAATAGAAATATATGGTCTTTCGGGGATGGCTTCTACATGCCTCGTAAATATCATAGTACTTAATACAGTAAGGTTTATTGCAGTCAGGAAGTACAGCGCCGGAGAGAGAAATATAATACTAAGAAAACAAATAAGAAAATATGATATATATGGGCTCACCTTACGAAATAATAAATGGATTCTAAGACTTTGGAATCGCATGCTAAAAATAACATTTTGTAAAAGTGACTGCGTTATGTTCTTGCGATTGCCCACAACGTTCGCATAGCTTGCTATTATATAGATAATTTCGTATAAGTCCGCTAGGCATCCGTACAACGCCTACTCCATAACAACACAGATATTTTCGATTTTCCAAATTATTCTTAAAAGGTTTCAAGTCGAAACGCCTATGGCATCGAAGCACAAAATATATGCAAAGGAACAACACGCATATGTGTAACCGCCCACATTATCTAACAACATTACAAGTGCATTTATTTCAAGAAATCCAATATTGTAATTCAAATAAAGTTAACATGCTACGCTTAGTCTCTTCCATGTAGTAACTCACTTGAATGTAATGAACATGTCCGTACGTGTGCTAGTCTGCTTATTTCAGATATAAGTGCATGGCATTAGGTTCTATAGTGATGAGTGAGTCATACCTACTTTACATTGCAATGATTCCCCCTTTTCATGTCCATTTCTGGACTATATGCTAATGTCATGTTGGTCCAAAGTCATTGAGATTGCCATACTCCTACTATCTGATAAGTCGCCATGCACGACCTGCCATATTCTTGATTGTCCATGCAACTGCGCGAACGCTCACACCACATGATTGTATTACAGTGGCGAGTCTGAGCGCAATTATACTAATTTACGTTTTCCCACGCTGGTAGAACAGTGTTATACGTGATAAATTATAATCACCACTCACTTAAAAACGATTCAAATGCACAACTGTAATAAAAGATAATTACACAGCTTGTGGAAATGTTTAAATGTCATAAAGAATATGAGCCACACATCATTGCGTATCAGTATTCGTATACCCACGCTATCCATGAAATCACTGGATAGCCTCAAGCATATCCTCAAGCATATACAGATACATTAAATTGATTGAAATGATCGTGGACTTGCTGGGATTATTACAGTGTATTGTGTTCTTCGGTGTGCACATACCAGGTAACTGTAATGGCATTTTTATTGCAATTTGTTCAATTGAAATGCGTTCAACTCGAATATGAACATCAATGTTAATTATAAAATGTGAGTGCTTTTTGTGCAGATTTTATTGATATTGGTTCCAATGAATCGCAGTGTTTTGAAGACTCGTCAATCATGACTAATGACCGATATATAAGCAATGCCAGTGTTATCGATTGCACCTAAAAGTCACAGTCACGGACACTATAAATAAAGTGTACTAAATCGATGATTTATTAATACCCTTGTGTTCTCAAACAATGAATGTTGACACGACACGTGTGCGCGGACATTATCTACCGAGTTGTGGTGTGGCCATCACATCATACATGAATGTCTCAGAATGGATCTCGTCGTTGAATGACCAAATTGACAATGCTCGTAAAATCAACAGCAGTTGACAGATGATTTCGATGTGCGGTATGTGCTAATGACATATTAATCATTTGATTCATTTTAACCAAAGGCAATATATATATAATGATTGTATTCACTTTATAGTAAATAAAACAACACAAATGTAATCCAACCTCCATTTACACAAGTGGAGTTGACCACATTATGGAGCACATTTTCCGGGCACAGATTTGCAAGAAACACAGATAGTTTCTCCTTTATTTTTTCCGTTCAACAAAACAGAATACTCGCACTAAAACACACGTTACTCCAATGTTAATTTGTTTACATGTTAAAATAAACTTTATTTTTATTATTTTATTATAAGAGTACATGGGAGACATTAACTATTTACACAAATCATATATGTATATATAATTAATATATAATTTTATTCATCTCACGGATGATCGTGAGAGCGACCACGATCACGGCGTTATATAATTGTCCTTGGCACAATTACGGTATTCATTACAGACAACAAAATCAGATTTACTTGAAAGTACGCAAAGGTGGGTACATCATTATATATTCAGACTTTGGACTGGACTATTATTAAATTATTATACACGCAGCAGATAATCTATCATATAACAGGAGTACTCTGCAGACAATACTTTGTAGTGTCACGTCGCCACGTTTAGTTCAATAATCATATGTGCTCTCATTTACGGGCGCTAATATTGTTACCTATGGCTTAAGCATTATAGTAGACATCTACATCATCATTAACCATCCACAGTGAATGCTCACTTGGCGTAAAATTGGAACACAGGTGATCTAATCAATACTCGGTGCTATTTCGTCGTTACTCGGAATAAATTTATGATACACCATTGTATATAAATCACCAGCTTCGTACGGCAACTATTTATATATTAGACTCCACGCCAGGGATTAAAGCAAAGGCCACATCATTTAGCAGTGTTCTGGGAAAGATAACCAAAGTTGACATTGACAATTTGAGCAATTCAAGCTCGCGTATTTTGCCGTGGTTGTTCATGACCGCTAAAATTGTTTCAATATCAACGCGATGTCGATGATTATGTGAACAAAATATGAATATCATCCCCCGGAGAGTGAATCCCAGAGCAGTAAAAACGTGACTAATATAGCTCGTTTCGGGCAGGCAAATCAGAAAGAATCGCTAGTACTTGTCACCGCAAGCAAAAATGCAGATGATGTATTGAAGACACCGACAGATAAGGTGGATATCACGTAGCGCTCGGTCACAGAAATACAGAAATTTCTAGTACTATAGTGCGATACAAGAAAAACTATGAGCTTCATATCCCATGTAATTAAATTGCACGAGACTATATACCAAATAGGTCCCATGCGTGGTCATATTGTATTTGCATCAGAAATGACTTGAGCAAGTTCATTGATGAAATGAGATCACCATGGTTTCCACTGTGTGTTTCAATGGTATTATATTTAAATTGATGCATGCGTTATAGTTTATGACCAGCGCATTTTTGTCGCAATTGCCTTGTCAATGCAATCATCGTATCCGACATCTGCGCCCTCTTTTTCAATCTCGAAATTTTCTCCCGCTTCGCAATGGAGTTTCCTTTGCGCGTCGTATCCTACTATCGTGGTTGTTTCGAACCTGTCTGTAATCAAGCGAAGTTTGGCGAGTGCGCGAAATAGAGCGGCGGTCTGAAGATGTACGTGCGAGGTTCTCAACGGGCGAGCAAGTGATTGTTGTGAAGAAAGCATTCCTGTATTTCGTACTAGTAGCGTTGTAAATGATGGGGTTTACGGCCGAGTTGAACATAAGTACAACAATAGTCACTTCGTTTAAACAACTCAGCACACCGAAAATAGACATAGTATTGTCGAGTAAGTCATAAAACGCCGCTAATTGAAACATAATTCGGGGGAAAATACACGTGAAATAAACAGCAGCAGTTACAATACACAGCCGCATCACTTGGCTACGGTCTCTAATGTTTGTTGGAGAATAGGTAATGTCATATGTGGACATTTTCAGACGCCTAGCGGCAATGGTGTAAAGTACTAAAACTACAACCATAGATATTAAAAATAATACCGCCTCAACTAAAGTGTACGTATAGTTCATTATGAGTTTAGCAATTCCCGGGTCATCAGTATAGCATTCGAGTAGTCCAGAGAGCCCGATTGTAGCACCAAATAACCACGATGCAAAAACCAGAAAGACTACTCTTGAGGGCTTTTTCAAACCTCTTGACTGCCTGGTGAATGGCTTACATATAGCAAGATATCGCTCAATACTGATAAACATCACGGACAGAATCGATGTCGAATACGCCGGGGTTGTGCTTCCCCATCGAACACAAGCGAGAATCTTCTTATTATCCGTGTCGAACATCCACATTAGCTCACGGTACCAATCTGGTCGACATAACGTGTGAGCTAGGAGGTAGAGTAAATCCGATACCGCTAAGCTAATTAGAAAGTAGTTAGTAGCATTTCTCATGTATGGGATTCGGCATACAACGATAATAAAGGCTACGTTACCGAAGATTCCAACCGTTCCAATAACTGAGGCGGCAAGGTCTAACGTCCAGTCGTTGACGCTACATACATATGACGAATTCGCAATATCTTCGGTTACGTTGCTTGTATGATATGAGGTGTCTAAATTGTCCGTTCCACTGCAGTCGGTAGACATAGTTGTTGGTAGACGTTCCTAGTATAAAGACCAACGACGAGTGCAATCGACAACAGCTATCCCACTATACACTTAACAGCCGGAAATTATAATCATCGAAATTGGGTTAGCCAACTTGATGGAAAAGGGGAAAAGCGACGCTGTCGTCTGCACATGCGCGTACGTAGAATTAACCGAGTGTGAATTGTGGATATGTCTTGTGGAAAATTAACTGTTAGATGAGATAACACTCGTGCTCCGTTTCCCTGACGTTTCGTGACGAGATATCGCCATTATTTATTTCTCCATTCAATTAGCTGTGCTCACAGCTGATAAGCTATGGCAAGACTATATTTTAGAACGGACATGAATATGCTCCTGTCTGATATAGTCATCTTCTCATTTACATAAATTGGGATGATGATGATATCCGAAGCCGTAAATTGTGAAATAATTTGTTTTTCCGAACTATTTATTTGTTAAGAGTGAGCTATCGCGGATGAATACTAACCTGCAGTAAAAGATTGAGGTAAACAGACATTGTTCGCCCACACGTTATTTACATCAACATCGCATAGGAACACCCTAGCAACCCTGGTTGGCGATGACGTATGAGTATTACTGTTCCAATCGAGTGTAACAATGAATGGTACTATCCGCCGGCATGAATTATTACTAACTCCCGCTACAGTATCTGCACCACCGAGCACACCTACCCAACATCATGATAAATGCATTTCAAAAATGCGTTTTCAAAGACGAGTTGCAGCTTAGAAAAGATAGATCTATCAGCTTAAAAACAACTGCGCACTGTATATAATATCTCACAACGTCTCAACATGTAGCTAAATGGACCTATGTGTTCGGTAGGAAATGAAAACATTTTAATTGATAAAAGGTACGATAAAACACGTACCAATACTTAGTTCATGCGTTTTCTTTAATATACTCCAACCATTTATAGTGTGTCAATAACGTCTTTTATGTCAGGTGCATGTTCTTTATTTAATTATTAACATTATAATGAATTCAAAAGTTTATTTCATTAATACTGATTTTTCAGACAACCAATAAAAACAATGTGTACGCAAACACTATGTGTTTCATACACGTATAAACTGAATCCACAGCTTTTGTGTCATTTGCGCCAGCACAGTCAGTCATTCAGTCCAATTTACTGCATTGTGTAGTAAAATAAGTACGCAAAGTAATATACAACTCACTACACTACATGGTAGATTAAGTGCGAGAAAGATACAGGGATCACAAAACATAGATCTGATACGTCGAAGAATTCACATCACGTATTTTGAAAATCATTATAACTTCCTGTTCGCCCATTAATCAGCACAACTGAGAAAATAAGTTTTACAACACATTGACATTTTGTATTTCCCAGAAGCCTGTGACGTCAAATATGACGTTCATCGTGTCTCTTTTATCTCAATAATGGTTTTTCTAACAGTAAGGTGTGCACTCTTAGGTCACGTGATTGATGATGTCAAGCCTACACAAAACCAAGTTCTCGACAAGGTCACCATTCCATTACGAACTCGGTAAGATTGTCTATCATTAGACAACAAAACTCAGTTAACCCTTCTGTGATGATGTTTCACTCCGTGTCAAATCACTTTATGCATCAATTTAAATCTACATCCATCGATGACGGCAACCTTTAAAATAATCTTGTTGTGAAAATATGCCACAGTAGCAGGTCACCTGTGTGACCTCATACCCACAGTAAAAAGGCAAACTCTTCCAAATAAAATTAATTGCCATATCAATCTCTGAGTCATTACATTCACACCAATTGTTTCACGCGTGCTACTCCAGTTGCCAAACGCTGATTCAGACCCAAACCCCCAATTATGGTCCGACTGAGGATATTTTGGTCGTTTGTGTACATCTACCACTGATTAAGATTGATAATTCAAGATCAAAAAATCAAGATGTATTATGCTCCTTTCGTGATTCTTATTGCTATTGTTATTTTTTGTCCGTCGGCTGTTTACCAAATCGTGTTTATATAGACTGTGATTGAATATAAAGTCAAAATTATGATCGCTACTAGTGACAATGCTATCTCATATACCAACAGCAACACCATACGTAGGGTCTGCATATAGTCCGCTTCCCTCTGTTGACACTGTTTATTTCACTGTTCGGTTCTCTATATCCCAGAGATGGATGGGCCGATCCACATTCAAACACCATATAGTTCATACATCACAAACAAATGCATAAAGCGGTACTATTTAGTGTCTTGTTGTGCATTATGTTAACTTTATCAACAGCTCATCCACGACGAAGACTTAAATCCTCGTCCTACCAAGGTGGGTCTATTATGGTGCGTCTGACTGACTTTAGGGTTAAACCCATGTTTTTCGCAGTTGAAGCAGCTCGAATTTATGCCAAAGAAGCCACTGTATTTATTGCATGCATCTAATATTATTAATATATCCACAGTGAATGCACCCGAAAAGCAACTGGATGTAATTGTGATGTGGAAACCAATATGCGGGGGCGGGGTAACAATTGTGTGGATCATAATGTTACACAAAAACACAATCAACAATACTACAACATTTCTCTCCATTAACTCATTTTGAATTTCTATTATCTATTTGTCTTGGTAATATATTATTATATACATATTTTATAGTATAAGGTTATCACGGGAATATCAAGAGTATTTAACGTAGCAGTACGGCGATCGTATCCACTTACGGTAAATTATATTGCTGACAGTATTATATAATAATTCCAATACACTGATTATTGTTTAGTATGCTTGCGGCAATCTGGCGAGCCTATTGCTTTTGTTAAGATTAGTTATTATTATACCTCGTTTTCTGTCAATTGTATATACTTATGCATGTGACGTAATGCATATCCTAATTACCAGCTGGTTGAATAATTAATTTGGCCATATTATACATTAAATAAGTAAGTGGAGAATACGATAGTCAGAACGATCTTCTTCTCTAGAACTACAAAGCGTAACCTGAAATAGTGTATTTGTGTGCTTTTGACAGAGTAGATCCTAATTACTTAAAGGATATGCAATTCGCTTATTAGTTTTTTTTATATTTAGCTGCCATTTGACTAATAGGGTGAATGGTCAAATGTTGAAATCCTTAGAAACAGTGTGACGTATCTGACCATTATTGGATAATCTATGTACGTAGGTAAAATATTGTCACATTTCACAATATATTTCTGGCAAAATACACAAATTAAAGGTGAGCAGCATCATATCAGTTCACCATGACTGTGTATATAAATGAATGTAATGAATTCCTCAATTGAAGATTGTTTTTTTTCTAAGTGTCCCCCGACATGCAAATGCATGTCCGATGTCATGATACCATGTTTCAGATAATACTTGCACATGCTCATCCCATCAGCTTGAATAAACTATCAGGTCATCTATATAGCTTCCAACCCCCTCCTACCTGACAATAATTTTCTGACTCCCCGCACCATTGAGTAGCTCCCGAATTCTTCATTCCAAATGGCATCCTTAAAAATTCATAAGCTCCATCGGGAGTAACAAAGTGCTGTCTTTGGTATATCTTCTTCAGCTACTGGTATCTGCCAATAACCCTTACTTAAATCAATTTTTGACAGAACTTACTATTATGTACCTCTGAAATATATCCCCTGTTGTTACCATTGGCTCAAGGTCGGTTAACAGTGACCTTATTTAATTTCCTATAATCTACACATATGCGATTCAATCCATCCTTGCTTCTTTACAATCACCACCGGTGAGGCATAGGGTGATGTGGACTTCCTGATACTCCCATTTTTAACATATCTTCATATCTTGCCTAAGGTTCTCCCTTATTGCATATGGTAATGAGTATGGCTTAATCGTATTGGTGTATCATTTGTCAG